TAGGAAATAAGATTGATCCAAGTGATGGAAATGTTCGGTAAGCTAGTATTGCTGGCCGACAATTCAGAGGAGAATAGCTGTTTGCACTTCAACGCTTCGTGTCACACACGTGCCTCGCCATTTTTCAACTGCCTCTTTGTCCTCATCTTGTTCTACTTTTTCGCTGTTGCGCAAGCGCACTGATGCTCTCTAGCGCATATCGTCATAGTCGGAAACGCGCGAACTATTATAAATAAGAATTCACAACATATAGTCAATACACAAGTAAACACAACATATACTCTTCCTACACTCGGCCATTCTGCATAATCGTGCGTCCCGCACGACGCTAGCTGTTAACTTAACATTACATCTTATAAAATAATATTGTCGACTTATAATTAACGTCTTACAACCAAAACTGCTTACTTTAACCTAACATTACAAAAATAGTATTGCTGACTTATAACTAACGTCTTACAAAAGTAATATTGCCGACTTGTAATTAACATCTTACAAACAGAATTGATTACTTTAACTCAACATTACGTCTTACAAAAATGAAATTGGTTACTTTTAATTAACTGTATTCCAGGGTTTAACATATTCAGCGCAAGTAGAAGTACTTACAGGTCCTTCGTGAAATCCGCTTTTTATCACATCGTATGTGTCGTTAGGCTTAACATTTTCAATTAGATATGGTCCTAAATATTTCGCTCGTAACTTTCAGCCTGAACCTAATTGTGTTCGCTTGATCGCTACTACGTCTCCTATCTAGTATTCTGTAGCCTATTCTGTAGCCTTCTTACGTCTGAGATTATATGTTTTACAATTTTCCGATTGCACTTTCAGAATTTGTTCGCTCTGATTTCGTTACGCTCGTCCTCAAATTTCGATCGAAATTCTTGTTCTATTATTACTTCGCGTAGTTTCAGATCGGTTTCATCACGTATTTTTACGCCAAATAGTAAATCAAAAGGCGTCGCATTTACACTACGATTGAACGTGGAGTTTAATATACGTTGCAATTTATCTACATGTTTGTACCATTTAGCAGGTTCTTCGATTGATAACTTGGAAAGTATCGATATGATCGCTCTATTCAAATGTTCCATTTGTCCGTTTGCCCTTGGCAATCCCGTGGTGATTGTCACGTGTTCAATTCTTTTCTGACAATACTCCTTGAACTCTTGGAAGGTGAAAGCTGTGCCTCTATCCGTCACGATTTGTTTCGGACTCCCGAATATTTGTTTTTGAACGTCTAGTCGACTTGTGACCTCGCTAGCTGTGGTAGATTTAGTCGGATACAATCATACAAATTTAGTAAAACTATCAATAATAACGAGAATATGATTGTAATTTTTATTAGTGGTATCTAACGGCCCAAATGATCGGTATGATATGTGTGTAACGGCACATCAGGCTTGGGAATGAGATGTATAATAGATATCCTTCCTGCCTACCTTCTTTGCGATTCGTCAATATAGTACACTGCACGCAACTGGCAATGTGTCCTTCTATTTTACTTCTTAAATCGCGTATAAAATACTCCTGCCAAATACGCTTTTCGGTACGTTTTGTCGCCATATGTTCTTTCTCGTGAATCGTTCGAATTACGTCTAATTCTAGCGTTCTGGGAATAACAAGTAAATACCGTATCTTGAAATTTATATAATAAATCGCCGCTTATGTGGTAATTCTTATATGATTTGTTTTTGACAATTTCTTTTATCGCTTGAATCTCTTCATCGTTTGCTTGGTGACTTCTAATTTGTGATATAATTGGACTTTTCACTATCGTCATATCGAATGTCGACTCAAAGCATCGACGTGTTTCATACGGGTTCCCGGTCTGTGCTCTATCCCGGTCTGTGATGTAATCATAATCTTCTAACACTAAAGCTCATCTCGCAATGCGTGTACTTAACTCTTTTTTGCTCATGAACTCTTTTTCGCTGAAAAGCCGCACAATCATAATTATTTTGAATTGAATTCCTAACAGATACACTTGGAATTTTCTAAGTGCCTCTACTATCGCAAGCGCCTCCAATTCATAACTCGTGTAATTCCTTTCCTCTTTTTTAGTCTTTTTGCTCATAAAATATACTGGGTGTAGTGAATTGTCTTCGTTCTGAACGCTGTAGGAGTACAACTCCATAACCGTCTATACTTGCGTCTGTATGTACTTCCGTTTCGTGTCGTGATATGAATGATATTATATATTTTCAGTACTGGATTCTGAGTTAAAATCGTCTTCAATTGTATGAATGCGTTTCGAGCCTTATCGTCAAAATTATACGATTGATCTTTCCGCAACATGTCGCTTAACGGTTTCGCGATCGTAGAATACGAAGGTATAAACTTTCTGAAGTAACCCGTTAATCCAAGAAAGCTTTCAATATTTTTTAATTCTCTCGACTCTGGATCTATCACGGCTTTGACTTTCTCTTGGGAAGGATAAATTTTGCTCCCTTCTACTACATGACCTAGAAACTCGATGGTTCTTTTCACGAATTGACACTTCTTAAAATTAATTTGTAAACCGTAGTCGCTAGCTGTTTTTAATACGATTCGCAATCGTTCCAACGCTTCTTGTTCGTTTGCTGCCGGCACGATCAAGTCGTCTACGTAAAGCAACACTATGTTTTGTCTAATCAAATCCCAGAAAGCAGCATTAATGTATCTTTGGAAAACCCTCGGCGAATTACATAATTCAAAAGGGACTTTCAGGAATTGACCGTTCGGGATGACGCCGTATATTTTCGACTCTCTTTTTCTACGGATACATGAAAAAATCCATTTTTCAGATCTAACGTACTAAACACACAAGCATTCTCTAATTTATCTAGTAGATCTTCGATTAGTGGTAAGGGATGACGATCCTTTTCTATGACTCGATTTAACTTCCTAATCAATACATACACGCGGTGATCTGTCCTTCTTTCTTATAACAATTACTGGACTCGCGTATTCCGACATACACTTCTCAATGACCCCGTCGTTTAGCCATTCTGCTATTTGATTTTCGACTATTTCGCGCTCAGGTGCCGGTAATCGTCGCGGTTTTTGAAAAATAGGCCTTTCGTCTTTTGGTATTTACGATACGCATGCTCACGTTGTCTTACACTTATTTATTCGATACTTCATCAATCGCCTCTACTTCTTCGCGTACTTTTGGATCCGTCACCAATGTCTAATGGTTGCTTTTCGATCACGTTGATTTGTGTTAACAATTGAGCAAATGTTGCTCTTCGTATAGTTATTCCGTTATTGATAGTCATTTTCGTCATCGCTAGAAAATCACTACCAATTATGATGCTTGAATTTGTAGCTTCGTTTGGCACAACGTGTACTACACACGGATATTCATCAGCATCTACTTCTATAATTATATTTACGCAACCCAATGAATGCATTTCGTTTTTTCCAAAATCGGTTAAACAAATACTATTTCTCCGTAGCTTGTCTAATTTCATTCGTAAACATCTTTGCGCATTACCGTAATTTGACTGCCGGTATCAATTAACGCATTAACCCGCACACCGTTTATCGTGATTCGTTTAAACATTCTATCGCTCGATGAATCAGTAACCGTATTAATTACCACCATCTTTTTGTCCGCTACCGCTTCACTATCGTCTGACGCGTTACAACTTTGCAGTATGTCCGTACTTTTGACACTTAAAACACTTTTTACCTAGTTCTCTCTTCTTGCAATCTTTAGCTTTGTGTCCTTTACCGCCGCAATTGTAGCACCGCACGTCTGTCTCTTGTTCCTTTTCACCATTTTTTGGTGTTATTGGTTTCCTCGCTTCTTCTGTTTTCTTCTGCCTCCTGTTCTTCTCTCTCGTTCTCATCAGTATCTTCTTCTTCCGAATTGCTTTGTACACTTTAAGCTTCTCCTTGAATTCCGTCAATTTTTTAGCTCCGTACAATATGATCTTGCTCTGTGCGTCTTCCGGAATTCCATCAATCACGTATTTCATGAGTGCTTCTGCTTCTATTTTACCTCTAGCAGCTATTTCTTTCATCACATAATAATATTCCTGTACGGTTTCATCTCTCTTCAATCTTCTTCTGACCAGCATATCGTGTATTTGAGCACTGTTTATTTTGTCTATAAATTCGTCTCGTAGAATTTCTTTTAATTTCTTCCACGACTTGATAATGCCTTCGCTGTCGATGAGCATTTTAGCAGGTCCAGCTAGTGATTTCTTTGCGAACACTAACTTTTGTAATTTCGACCATCCAAACAAGTTAGCCGCATCTTCGAATTCAGATATCCATCTTTCAACCGGATATGTATCTTATCCAGTGAAAGTTTTAATTGAGTCTTGCACGTCTCGATATGTCATTGCGAATTTCATATGTACTTGACTGCCTCTGATAAAGTGGTTCTCTTCGAGGTTATTTTCACTTTCTTTGTTGCTTCTTTGTTCCTCTCTTTCATCATCTTGCTCGTCAGCTGTTGCCTCATCATTCGCATCTTCGTCTAATTCACCGTCTTGTTCACTGTCTTTAGGCGTGAGAGTATCTAAATCCATTAAACCATGTAATATACGTGTTATTATCTCTTCTCTGTTTCCGCCGTATTCTAAATCAAGAATGTTGCAGCATGATATTAAGTCGTCGATCGAAAGTTTTCGCGCCGCTTCTATCTTATTCACATATCCCGTCGTGTCTTTCTTGAAAACAAAGCCTTCGAAATCTCTGAGTCTTTGTCGGTTCTTTTGGTCGCCTTCTTTTTCGAAAATGAATCTATGTAAAGCCGTCACGGCAACGATCGACGCCGTTCGTATCTTTTGTCTGATTGGTTCGATTTGCGTGAGGTTGTTCATCTTGCCTCTGCACACTTTACGCAAAGTGATTACGACACGTGTTTACCGTCGCGCTCTTACTATCTTGCACTCTGTTGTACTGTCTTGTTTGCGTACACTCAAGATTATCGATTCACATTCGTTTATGTCGTGCAGTCCCGCCGCCACACTTCCGATGTCATTACCAGCGCTACTGTTGCGCGCTCACTCGCGTTGTATTGTCACTGTCTTCTCGATGTTGGCGTTACCGACGCATTCACAGTCTTGCCAATGTATTTCTGGTATTGCTACGCCACCTTGTAGTTGCACACTCGTGTCTCTCGGATTCTTAATGTCTTCCCCCTTTTTTTTGTCGTCTTCCTTCTTCTCCGTCTTGCGTCTTTTCTCTCTTTCGTCTTTTCGTCTTGCTTCTTTTCTTTTCGTCTTTCGTCTTTTCGTTTTTTTTTGTTTTTCCGTCTTTTCATCTTTTTCGTCTTTTCGTCTTTTCGTCTTTTTCGTTTTTTCGTCTTTTCGTTTTTTTTCTCCTTTTGTCTCTCATCAGCTCTTATCCTCAGACGAGCCCCCAAATTTGTAGGAAATAAGATTGATCCAAGTGATGGAAATGTTCGATGAGCCAGCATTGCTGGCCGACAATTCAGAACAGAATCGCTGTTTGCACTTCAACGCTTCGTCGTGCCACACACGTGCCTCGCCATTTTTCAACTGCCTCTTTGTCCTCACCTTCTTCTACTTTTTCGCTCTTGCGCAAGCGCACTGATACTCTAGCGCATATCGTCATAATCGGAAACGCGCGAACTATAAGAATTAGTAAACACAACATATACTCTTCCTACAGTACGATTTTACGTTCGCACCGCGACGCACTTGAAACCGTTGACGTAGTGCGTAGTGACAATAACAACAACAACAACAACAACAACAACAACAACAACAACAACAACAACAACAACAACAACAACAACAACAACAACAACAACAACAACAACAACAACAACAACAACAACAACAATGACACTGATGACGATAATGATGAGGGTAGAGAATACCGATTACGCTCCGCGCAACTACAACACGATGAGATGAGAGATTAGATGTGCATACAGAATAAACTTTGGCAAGCCCAACAGCATTGGATCGCTGCTGGGATTCTCGTCGAAGCGTATACTGCGACCGCGAATCGGACATGTCCAGCAACATAATGAACGTAAACGTTATCCACGTAGAATGTAACATGACCGCGGGCGCGTACAGAAACGGCAAAAGCGCGCACACGATACACGAATTTTCGCCGAGCGTGCCATTAGGAGATAAGATATCGGAGAGGCTGGCGCAGCTCATTTACCTGCCAATCATGGCACGGAGCATTACTGATCTAACGATACGCGTCGTCGACCAGAACGGACGATTGCTTGATTTTCGCGGAGAGGAGATTACTGTCAGAGTGCACGTGCGACAGCGACAGCAAGCGTGAGATGCTCGTATTGAACGGAGCGGAGCGCACGCAGAGAGATAACGCATTCTTTACAAGACTGGTAACATCACCGCTCGATAACGCTCGCTCATCCAACTGCGTCAGCAAGAAGAAGCTCAGCGCGTTAAATTTTTATAATCTTTGGAATTCGCGGTGCGCAACTTTTGAGATGATTGATATCTTGAATATTACGGATGAGCCGATCTTTGACGATCGTCAATATTGAGATATCACACGTATAACCCGTTCGCTAATACAACATTCGGATACAGCGACGAGATAAGAATACCCATACAGCAGCAGAATTTGTACACGTTGCCGTGCGAAAGTTTTCTCTACGTCGAAGGAAGATTGATAGTGAAAAAGAAAAACGATCAGATGCCAACGACGCTTGGAAATAATTGAGTGGCGTTCATGTTTGATAAAATTCGATATGAACTCAACGGTGTGGAGATTGACCGCAACTGAAACGTGGGCATAACTAGCACGCTCAAGAATTACGTGTCAATGATGTACGATAAAGCTTTGATTACGCTGAACGGAACTCTAGATCCGACACGGAAGAAGGACACTTTAATTTTTGCGTGCCGCTCAATATGCTGTTGGTTTTTTGCGAAGATTACGCCTGATTGTCAACGAATTAATTTTGATACGAGCGCGCAACGACAACAATTGCTTGATGGGAAATCCTGTGACGGAATCTGAGATTGAATTATTTAAATTACAGTGGCGGATGCCTCACGTTGCATTAAACGAGGTCAATAAATTATCAATGCTGCGAGCATTGGAAAGCAATCATTATGTGAGCATGAATTTTCGCTCGTGGGATCTATACGAGTATCCTCTTACAGAATACGACCAAGCAGCTTGAGAAGCTTCGATACGTTATCTTTGCTCTGCAGACCGGTCGAAAGAATATCATGTCACGAGATGTTAGCATGTTCGACGATTGTAATTTGTGAAACTTTATCTAAATTCGGCGTTTTATCCGTACGACGATTTAAATCTGGATTTTGGCAAAAAGAGACACGCCGTTCTATTTGATATGTACGCACATTTTCGTAGAGCATATTATGGAATCGATTGCTTCGAAACGCTACTCAACGTGCTCTCATTTGTCGAGAAAGGACCTTTTGTGGTCATTGATTGCTCACGACAAAACGGATCCGTCAAGAGTGGCACTGTGGACGTAGGCATAGAATTTGACTGCAAGGAGAATGTGCCCGCAAATACAACAGCTTATTGTCTCATCATACACGCTCAGTCTAATCCATTGACCAACGTAGTGCGTAAAATCACTTAAATGCACCTCTGACACGATATAAAATCTACGTTATGTCGCAATCGACGTCGCAGTCTTCTCGACAACATGTCTATGCCAACGTTCGTGGATCTGCAAGGATTCATCGTTAACAAGAAATTTATCGTGAAGGAAGTGGCGGTGCTGAAACAGGGGACCGTTCTCACGCATTACATTTTTACGAATCCCGTGCCATGGAAATTTTTAACAAGATTCGACAGGTCTTGCGCCTCCTAGTTGATTGCTTATCACCATGGATTGCAATGGGAGGACGGGACGGTCCCGTACAACGAGGCGGAACGTCTAATTACGATGGTTATATTTGAAGACGATGCTGTCGTGTATGTTAAGGGACGCGAGAAACGAACGTGGCTGTGAAACTTGCTTCTGGACGATGAACGAGAACGCATGTACAGCGAGACCTTGGATGCAATTTACGAAGACATGGAATCTTTATCTAATCTAGATGTTACTAATATTATACGATGCGGACAACATGTTAAGAATTGCGCGTTACAAAATATATTGAAAATATATAACTGATGATTGCAAAAGAATTTTATATAAAAATTTTAAATAAAAATACGTTAACGTATTTACTATGTATTTCTTTTCCCTTCCTTTGTAATGTATAAACGTATGTACATATAAACGCATGTACGTATGTATAAACGTATGAATGAACTTATGTACGTATAAACGTATGTACGTATGTATAAACGTATGTATAAACGTATGAATGAACGTATGTATAAACGTATGTATGTATAAACGTATGTATAAACGTATTCACACATAAACGTATGTATAAACGTACGTATAAACGTATATATAAACGTATATATAAACGTATGTACGTATGTATAAACGTATGTATAAACGTATGTACGTATAAACGTGTGTATGTATGTATAAATGTATGTACATATGTATAAACGTATGAATGAACATATGTATGTATAAACGTATGTATAAACATATATATAAACGTATGTACTGCAACCGCACTGACAAGCGTGGTGCAACTTCGCCGCACATTCACAGCTAAAATTCTTGCCGGCGATCGGTGCCGGGGGGCGTTAAACGAAACGCGACAAAATGCGTCTTCCCGCGACTACTCTTAGGGGCGGCACATAATTACAAAACGATAGTTGGGCGCCAGGCACGAGTGAGCGTGCCACTCCTTCCAGAAATTACGCGATATTTTCTTTATGCTTTATTATGTTATAATGAGCTGCGAATGTCGACGGGCCCTCAACCGGCAGCTCAGCCTCGGAAATGACAGAGGGAGTGGTTCGTGGCCGAGGATAGCAGATTTCTTGGAGGAGCGAATAGGAGCGAGAATAAATTACACACGAATTTAACAGTAACAAGAGTAACAAATATATTATTAGGTGTTGGAATTAATTCGTAGCGTTTTACAAGTGATGGGAAGTACTTTCATTAATGTATTTTTTAATGCTCATGTGAAATAAATAACATTCTTTCATTAAAAAACGCTACGAATTAATTCCAACACCTAATAAATGAGTCTTCGACTCACATTTAGAGGTAGCGATACAACCGAGACGATAAATTCTATGTGAGCGCAACAATTGATTTACATAAGCCCGAGGTTTTACACTAGGCGTATCAATTGCGTTACATTCTCGTGACACGAGCTCATGCCACACGGAAATACTCTCGCGAATTATACTTCATCGCCGCGCAAATCCTAAGGAATTCGGCAGCCTGTAGCGTGGACACAGCGTGACCTCGTGCGCGACCGCGGAATCTCGCGCCGCTCAGACGCGATGCAGGGGGAGGCTCGAATACGTGCAAGCTCGGCAATGTACAATCTTGATACGACAAAATAAGTACACTCATTAATTGCGATTATCAATCGACCTTAAGGGCTATGACATAGAAAACCGAATAAACAGGTAAATCTTACGCTACAGACGATAGAGACGGTACGCGACAATACTGCACGGGACTTCGATGTAACATGCGATCCGCGATAAAAGAAAACCGATAATAATTGAGCAGGGCGTTGGGGGACGCCCTGGAATTATCCTGACGACAAGGGCCGTTCCGGGAGGCGACACGCGTACTCTAATCCCGCGAAACTCTAATACACGATCAAACCACGTGCACTCACTATTATATCCGATAAAAATCCGATAGCTACGCCTCCCGGACGCGGAACCCGGCGACTGTACAGAGGTGACGTTCGTCTCACCGGTTCCCTCGCAGGTGCTCCTAGCTGACCTCGGAAAGCTCTCAATCGGTTGGCGTCCTGCGTCCTCTCTTCGAGCGGGCCACAGCTCAAGTGCTGGCCGCTAATCCTCCCGGGCGCACGCAGGGCTCGTTATCCCCGCGAGGGGGCCTTATCGCCTGCTTGGCGTGTGGCCCCGCGGCTTTCCGCTACTCGCGGAAATCGCGTCATGTCTATCGCATGTGTCCTGGCGCGCGAAATTCGAGAGATCACGGTAATCTTTCTCAGGCCGCCTCGTGGCCTCGAGGCGCCTATCTGGGGCTCTCGCCGTCCTTGTAGCGCAGAAGGCCTTGTGGCCTTCCCCGTTAGGTCGTGCTGACTCTCTATCCGCTTTACGCCTGGAAGAGGGTGCGGTAAAAGGTGCTTTGCGACAATAAAAAAACGTAACGAATGCGGGAAAGATATCACCTGCGGGCAACCCGGGGCCAGGTATCGTGCCTCCCGGCGGGTCTGTCCTCAGCGGTCGCCTCTGGACTCTCAATCCTTGTCGTACTTTCTTCTCTTCTTCCCGGTGAGATTGCGTCACTCCGCCAAGGTCGCGGGAGTCTCCGGCCTCTGTAACCCTCGGTACGGGAATACACCGAAACGGAAGTAAAAAAAAACGGCAGCGCGGACCGCGTAAGATACGCGAATGACGACGCGGAAGAAGCGCAGGTGCGTCCGCCCCCCCAAAATGTGAGAGGACTCAGGACGCTATACTGCACTATTCGGTTAGGCCATGCGGCCCTTGTGACGGACGGAAGACGTCAC